AGGGTGAAACTGATGCCTTGACAGGCAGCAGAAATGAGAAAAATCAAGTAGGCCTCAGGTTTAGTTCCTGGAACTGAAACAGATTCAGTTTCCCAGCAATAAAACAATCCGTAACTATCTAACCTGAACCCACCTGGGAAAGTTCCTGAGCTCAGCAAGTGGGCTCAATTAATCAATTCTCACAATGTCCCAGAAATTGCCTTTTGTTAACCCTTAAAAGAATGAATACCATATGTAACCATAAATTGCTAATGGAAACTATTGTTTAACTTTTGCCTGACTACTGTTACCCTAGACACTTGCCAAAACAAGTTTGGTAGTTAAGAGTTCTTTCTGAAATAATAAGGCATGTACTGCTTATGTAATCAAACCCTACATAAACTGCTTGCTGCCTGAAGTTGGCGTCACTATTAAGACCACTCTATGGGTGAGATAGTTAACCCCAGTATACTGGAATAAAACTAATGTTTTTGTATTATCGACTTTCTGTTCGTCTTGCCACTTGGGAACCCAGAATTCCGGGCTTAACAAGATGATTAGAAGTCTAGACCAGTTGTCATTAGCATCCAATGTCCTTAGTCTAGAGGCAGGGCAGTGTCTCATTGGTTTGCCTAGACAATTAATAATTGCACTGATATCAGAGCCTGCTGGGATTTTGGAATGACTTTGATACTTCACTTTTGATAACTTTTCTCTCCTAATTCATTACACACTCTATTATCAGTACTGGAAAAATGTTTTGAAAGAGTTAAGTTTAAAGTGCTGTCAAGCTAGAATAATATTTTCAACCACAAGATATGAGTAGTCTAGAGACATTTTACAATGGATGTTCCAGTGAAGAGGGGTGGGTGACAGCCAGGATGCTCTGAAATCCCATGTGTGGGACAAACTCTGTCACAGAAGGGTTTGGTTCAAGTGCCAATAGTATTAGTTGACAATCCCCAACATAAAAATAAATAATTACTTATACTATTGACCACTGTCTATATATGGTTTGATTTTACATTCTTACAACATATACCTCCTTATCTTTCGGCCCTACCCCCGCCCAAACATAGAGTATCCTTGGGTATCAGTTAATACTCCCAACCCCATTTCATTTGACATTTTCCATTCTTTTTTGTTTCATTTATTTATATATATTAAACTTTAATTTAAATGATAAGGTTACAATAGTGTTAATGTTTTTGCTGTGTGCAAAGCCATTTCACTGTATGTGATGCTCCCCACATTGTCCATATGTAACCTCTGGTCCAAAGTATGAAAGACATTTCTCCTTTTATAGTAATACATTTAGTTTCAATTAACTAAGTTTTCTTTATAACTGATTTCCTTCAGTGATTTTAGGCACACATATATATTACCAATATAATATATATTTTTTGTATGTATGCTTTTGTTATATTTTGTTATATTTCTGTTGCCATGTTTCTCAATTGCTTTTGAAAGAAACGTTCTATTTTCCAGAATAAAGTCAATGTTTCTAGATTCCCCTTTACAATACAACCTTTGTTCCAGTGAAGTTTAAAACTTGCTAAAGCTCATATGGATTTATACAGAATGTTTCATTGTTCTATAGAAATAATAACTGTGTGTCTCCCCTGTGGATTTTCTAGAATCTCCCAAGCAGGATTCTAGAAAATTATTTTAGATTTGAATCCTTAATAATCAAAGTACCAATGTAGGTAAGTATTAGTCAATCATTCTTGTGTGTCATCTTGTTTCATTGAGTGTTAATGTTTGTAAAGAAATTGTCTTAACACTACACATTTTCAGCTGTTTTCCTCATCCTGCTTTCATTTCATTTTATTTCCATCACATGCTACGATTTGACTTGACAGACATGCACATGTTGTTCAGTGGCTGTGAAGAATGCTGAAGGAAACCCAGAGGCAGCATGGGTCATGCACTGTGATGGCAGAGACAGAGGACAGTGGGTTACATGTATTGTGTGCTGCCTTTAGGCATAAGCACATGAAAAAATTATTTTCATCATTAAAAGGTAATTATTAAAAGGCTGGAGCAATAGCACAGCAGGTCGGGCATTTGCCTTGCATGCAGCCGACCCGGGTTTGATTCCTCCATTCCTCTCAGAAAACCCAGTAAGCTACAGACAGTATCCTGCCCACATGCAGAGCCTGGAAAGCTCCTCATGACATATTCTATATGCCAAAAACAGTAACAATAAGTCTCACAATGGACACGTTACTGGTGCCTGCTCGAGCAAATCAATGAACAACGGAAGGACAGTGCTACAGTGCTATTAAAAGGTAAAATTGATGCGAGGTGGGCAGGATTCACAGCACTTGAAAAAATGAATAATTTTTCTATTAGATGAAGCCCAAAACCAGGATGAAAATGTCCCCCAAGGAAATGAAAAATGTCAATTTCATAACAATGTTCAAAAAATCACAAATGATGCCATATATGAATAGTGTGAAAGGAACTTGCCCTGGTCCCTGACGGAACCATATTGCAATGCATTGGTCAATTAATTGTGAAATAGACTACTCGGGAAAAATGAGTCTTCTACTTGAAATAGAAAGTGCTTAGTTTTCTAAGAACTGTTTTTATTTCCATTTGCAAAGCACAGATTTGGTTATGTCTACTTACTTTTTGGGGGGTACAATGCAATGTTTTGGACACAAATTTTATTTTTGTCTTTTGTAAAAGTTCCTTTTATAAATTTTATTTGTTGGTTGACAAGGCAATGTTAGCAGGTTGTAATGTAACCAGAACCAAAGAAGAATTTTCCTCCTCAAGATCTCTCAGAGAGCCTCAGAGCTTACTATGTCTCATTTCCTCCTCAATCATTTTTCTTATTTTCTTTATTCCGTCTGTTTATCAAACAGTCAGTCCTAAGTATTTGTTAAGAGACATGGCTGACTATGACTTTTCTCCAGTATAGAGTCCAAAATCTTTTTTTTTTTTTTTTGGAGCGGCTTAAAAAATGGTCGGTGCAATAATGAAATTTTCTGCAACGTTTTTGGAACTAAAAGATATGTTGAGTGAATTAAGCCAGAAGAAAGACACAGGATGGTCTCACTTATCTGGGATATAAAATACTAGTTGAGGAAAGGCATTGTAGTAAAAGGGGATGTTTAGATCACCCTTGATCCTAGTGTTTAAATAAGAGTTTAGAGAAGGACAGAAAAAGAAAAGAATTCAAGGGGAAAGAAGAGAACAGAGAGTAATGGGTGAATGGACATCAGGTCCTTCAGTTATATTGGTGATGTGGGTGAGTGATAGACATATATCTGAAATACATATTCAACAATATACAAAGAAAATACAAGAAAATACAAATTCAACAAAACTGAAAACATGAGATCTAAGCTGCAACCAAGAGAACGTTCTAATGTGCCTGTCAAGTTGACAGGCAGGAATGGTGCAGGGCTAAGGTAGGGAGGGAGTTTGGGAATACAAGGGGGAAAGTTGACACTGGTGGTTGGATTGGTGTTGAAATATTCTATTCCTAAAACTCAACTATCAAAAACATTGTAAATCACAGTTCTTTAATTATAAAGTAAAAAAATTAAGAAATGAAATTTTAGAGGGTGGTTTCACTCATAAAAAATTTGAATAAATACCTGAGCTGGTAAAACCAACAAATATAGATTTTCCTGCTGCAAAGGAATACAAATAAAACTTACAACACTTATAGCATCCTGCAGACTCATGTATGTGTATAGTGTCTGTGTGCGTGTGTGTGTGTGTATGTGTGTTTTCTATGAAGAGAAAGTTTCTTAGATAATGAATATCTGAGTTTGTATGGTGCAAGGTAAATCTCAAATTTCAGGGGCCAGAAATCAGCAGGAGAAGGGACTAAGGAACATTGCGTTTTGGGGTTGGAGCAATAGCACAGTGGGTAGGGCATTTGCCTTGCACGTAGTCAAACCGGGTTTGATTTCTAGCATCCCATATGGTCCCCTGAGTACCGCCAGGGTGATTCCTAAATGTAGAGCCAGGAGTAACCCCTGTGCATCAGGTGTGACCCAAAATAGAAAAAAAAGGAACAGTGTGTTTCTATTCATGGATCACCTTTGCAACAAGATTAATAGACTGCTAAAGCGCCAGGGATGGAGGATGGGTTGATGGGCCATAAGGTTTCTGTGTAACTGAGAAACAACTTTTCTCAGCAAAGCTTCTGACACCATCTTCCAGCTACCTCACAATTCCCATCACCAGCTTTGTTTTGATTTTAATATCTGAAATAGGTACCTACCCTGGGGAATTCTCATTGTCTGTTCCCATCTCTGAAGATACACATGCCAACGCAAATCCACTCTCCCTCCTTCTCTACTTCATCTTTGTCTGAATGTTATCTGTCTGAAGCTCTTCCAAAACATAGAACAGACTATGCACCATTTCCATGCCTTCCTATTTTATACCAATAATCACTGTAGGAAATGTTACAACGTTTCATTTTCTGCTTGTTTATTTGTGCTCTATCCTGGAATGATAGAGATCATTTTATTCAAGCACCTTAGTCTCATAGCCCAGCAATCTCTTCAAATGGAGATGGTCCCCAATTAATTTCATTCAGCATATGAAAAAAATTCCCTGACTCTTTGGGGAAAAAGTTTCTGAGGAAAATTTCCAATTGGAAGGGAGCATGTCTTAAAAAGGATATTTTTTAAAAAATCTATACAAAATATGGCTGGAGCGATAGCACAGCGGGTAGTGCATTCGCCTTACAAGCGGCCAACATGGCCGACCCGAGTTCGATTCCTCCGCCCCTCTCGGAGAGCCTGGCAAGCTACCGAGAGTATTTGATATGCCAAACACAGTAACAACAAAGTCTCCAATGGAGACGTTACTGGGCCCGCTTGAGCAAATCGACGATCAACGGGAGGGCCTTTTACCTTTTACCTTTTTATACAAAATATTTAATCAGTGGTAATGTATGCAAAAGTGAATTATTGCCCATAAAATATTTACACAGCTTTCTATAAATATTATGTTCATCTTATTTATTTTAGCATCATCAACACAAACATATGAAGCCAGACAATGATGGAAATGTTTCAGAATTTATTCTTCTGGGATTTTCAGAGGATCCAAAACTGCAGCCCCTCCTATTTGGACTTTTTCTCTCCATGTACCTGATCACCGTGCTGGGGAACCTCCTCATCATCCTGGCCATCAGCTCAGATCCACGGCTCCACACACCCATGTACTTCTTCTTGTGCAACCTGTCCTTTGTGGACATCTGCTTCTCCTCCACCACCGTCCCCCACATGCTGGTGAGTATACAAAGAGAGAATAGAGCCATCAGCTATGAAGGCTGCGTCACTCAGATGTTTTTTGTCTGTGTCTTTGCAACATTAGATGACTTTCTCCTGACCGTGATGGCCTATGACCGCTTTGTGGCCATCTGCCACCCTCTTCACTATACAGTCATTATGAACCCCTGGGTCTGTGGACTGCTGGCTCTGGGATCCTGGATCCTGGGTAGCCTGGCATGTTTGTTACAAAATACATTATTGTTGCGATTGTCCTTCTGCATGGATGTGGAAATTCCTAACTTTTTCTGTGAACTCAAAATGATGGTGCAGCTTGCATGTTCAGATGCTTTTGTTAATAATCTAGTGATGTATTTTTCAGCCGTTCTGCTGGGTGGGGGGCCCCTGGCTGGGATCCTTTACTCTTACTCTAAGATAGTTTCCTCCGTAGGTAGAATCGCATCTGCTCAGGGGAAGTTGAAAGCCTTTTCTACTTGCGCATCTCACCTCTCAGTGGTCTCTTTATTCTACTTCTCTTGTCTTGGAGTGTATCTAAGTTCTGCTGCTACCCTCAGCTCAAAGTCTAGTTCAACAGCCTCTGCCATGTATAGTGTGGTCACCCCTATGTTGAACCCTTTCATCTACAGTCTGAGAAATAGAGACATAAAGAGGGCGCTGAGTGCATTCTTATTGAAGGGAACTACAAAAGGACAGTTATCCTAAGCATAAAGTAATGGCTATCCATGTTGACAACAAGCTCTTAGAAGAAAAATTGTGATTATTTTTCATGTGTTGGAAGTAGCACTTCCTCTTTCTCTTTCCTGGATTACCACTTTTCTGAACATAGCTCAATTTATTTGATATCCAGTTACTGTCTCTGCATTCCAGTTTTCACAACTTTATTTCGCAAACATTTCAAAATTTAGTGCCTACCATGGTTCTGATACATCTTTAATAACCTCTTCTCTGAGAAGAGCATATTACTACTTATAAAACATTTTTGTTAAAGGACTTATACCACAAACATCTAAAATTTTACTAAATAATCACAGTAGCTAGAGAGATATTATAAAGGATAAAGAACTTATCCTGCACATAGTCAACCTGTGTTCTATTTCTGGCACTAAATATGGTCCCTTGGAGTGATCCCTGAGTGCAGAGCCAGGAGTAAGTCTTGAGCAAAATTTGATGTAAATAATATAATCACCATAAGCTACATGACTTTCATTATTATCAATCTATATGCATGACTATGCTTATTAATATAAGAAAATAATATATGGGATTGATCCAGAGTAACAGTACAACAGATGTGGGGATTGCTTTGCATGTAGCCAATGTGTTTTCAATCTCTGAAATCTCAAATGGTCCCCTGAGCCCCCTCAGGGTTATTCGTGAGTGTGAACCAAGAGTAAGTCCTTAGTGCCACTGAATGTGATCCGGAAGCAAAGAAAAATATGGGATCACTTCCACTTTGGCATATTTCTTATGCCCACTGATCTCAGAACTAAAGCGGAATTTACTGCACTGTGTGATGATCTCTATTTTATTATTATCCACAGTAGGATGTTTTCTTTCAGCAGATTGTCTGATGACTATCTCAGATATATACAAAGTCATTGTCTTCAAGAGAAGCCTTCATTGCCTGATTGAATGTGAGCCCCAAACGCCAATAATCTGATGCCTTACCTTTTCATGTCCTCCACTGCCTGACTATGCGAAACACCTCTTGAGGGGTTAGTGTTTATGTGTCAAAGGTTTTCACATAGTGGGTGAAAACTGATATTTGGTTTTTTTTTGTTGAATAATTTTTTTGACTTTTTGGATGATGCACAAGGGTTACTCCTGGCTCTACACTCAGGAATTACCCCTGGCAGTGCTTGGGGGACCATATGGGATGCTAGGAATCGATCCCGGGTCTGCAGCATGCAAGGCAAATGCACAACCTGCTGTACTATTGTTTCAGCCCCTGTTGAATAATCTTTTGTTGGAAAATCCCATTTCATTCCCTGTTGTTCTTTCTTTATTCAAATCTATTATTATCTCCTATTACATTAAAAGGTGCCTGCTCTCAATTTCATTTGTGAATAATTCTTGAAAAGCATGACAAACTTTTTAAAAAGTTTGGGGAGCCACACCCAGAAGTGTTCAGGGCTTACTCCTGGCTCTGCACTCAGAGATCATTCATGGTGGATAATTTGGTTCTGAGAATCAAACCCTGAGATGGCTATGTGCCAGGCGAGTACCCTACCTGCTATATTATCACTCTGGCCCAAACTTTTATGTCATTTTTATGTGATTGTTAAAATTTTAATCTCCCTCATCTACTTTTCATTCATGATCTAGTAAACAAAGTACCAGAAAAATATTACTAGAAAATACATAATGCATGGGAATATTATGTACCTTTTAATGTAAAAATGGGTATATGTCAAAGTGTGTTGTGCATATATCTTTATTTCAAGTAAATTTCTTAAACACATATGCACACAAGTGCAGAATAATTTTTTATTTCCTTTCTTTTGTGATAATAAACACAATTCTACTTTAGAGGTGACAGAAATGAGAAGGATAAATTTTAGACTTTTTTATTATATTTGTTGAGATAATTTTCAATGGCATCCATATTATTGTTTTGTTGACGTGACATAATTACTCTTCTGGTGGTGCTCAGGGACTCCATGGAATCAGGTATCAAACCAGAGTTGACTGTGTTCAGTCAAGTGTTTTTGTTCTTGCACTTTCTTTTCCAGCACTTGGAGTATAATCCTTAGCATGAAATTAAAAATTTTATTTAAATGCAAGTCTCTTCTCACTTCTGAGTTCATTATGTTATACATTTGATGCTTCTTGCCAAGCTGCCAACTGGGGGGTGTAATTATCTGCAGGTTTCTCCAAAATGCATGGGTTACTACTAGAATAAAAAAGAAATAGCTTCATTTTTTAAACATAATGTCCAAGGGACAGGAAATATGTTTTATCTTCCTGGTTAGAGAGTCTCTGTTTCCAGATTCTACCTTAAAATGCAACATTTTTCATATTAAAATTAAACTTGAAAAAAATTTAAATGATATATGGTAAAGTTCATGTATATGGTTTCATTTTTTATGAAAATCAGAACTGTAAATCCTGGTTGTATTGATTCTAGAAAACTATATTAGATCTGAGTTCTTAGCAGTCAAAATCTCAATTCAGTAAACTTATCTGTTTTGTTTTGTGTTGAATTTTCTTAGCACTTAAATTGTCTTAACACCACACACATTTTTTTATCTATTTTTCTTATCCTGCATTTATTTTATTTTTAGTTCTATGGCATGCTAAGATTGGACTTGAGAGATATGCATAGATATTAGTTTCCATAAAGAATGGTATAGTGATCTTTTCTTAGCCTTTTGGCTAATATCAAGTGAAGGATGCTAAAATGAGCACAGAGTTGAACTCCATGCTGTGTGGATCATGCATTGTAAAGGTAGAGACAAGGCCTTACGATCAATGTAAGTATGATGTGATTCCCTCGGGCATACTAAAAGAAATCATTTTATATTAAAAGGTACAATTGTTATGATGTGGGGAGGATCGACAGAGCTTGGAAGACTAAGAAATTTTCTGTTGGAGAAAGTTCAGAGCCTGGACTAGAGTGTCCCCAAGGAACTGAAAGAATTTGAGACAAAACCACAACATCCAAAAGTATCAGAGAAAGGATGCCACATAAGAATAGAGAGGAGGGAGCTTGCCCAATCCCAGATAGAGCCAAATAAGAGTGTAATGGTCACTTAGTCATGGTACAGACTTGGAAAAAATAAGTCATCTACATGACATAGAACCATAATGCCCAAAAGGAAAAAGGGGGAGAGAGAGCAAAAGAGAAAGAAGAAAAGTGCCTGCCAAGAGGCAGGCTAGGGATCAGATGGAAACTGGAGACTATGGTGGTGGGAAATGTGCACTGTTGAAGGGATGGGCGATAGAATGGTCACTTAGTCATGGTACAGACTTGGAAAAAATAAGTCATCTACATGACATAGAACCATAATGCCCAAAAGGAAAAAGGGGGAGAGAGAGCAAAAGAGAAAGAAGAAAAGTGCCTGCCAAGAGGCAGGCTAGGGATCAGGATGGAAACTGGAGACTATGGTGGTGGGAAATGTGCACTGTTGAAGGGATGGGCGATAGAACATTGTATGACCGAAAACCCAATCACGAACAACTTTGTAACTGTATCTCAGGGTGATTCAATTAATAAAACGAAAAAAAAAGAAAGAAAGAAAGAAAGAAAGAAAGAAAGAAAGAAAGAAAGAAAGAAAGAAAAAGAAATTGCCAATTTAGGTGGACTCTGTATTTTTGTTTGTAAAGTGTAATTTGTTTATATCTATTTCCTTGAGTACAAGGTCTTGAGCACAAGGATTTTACTTTTGTCTTTTGACAAGGGTCACTTGAAATGGTTGGAAAGACACCGGAAACAAAGAGTATTCATCCTCGAGGTCTCTGAGAGCATCTGACCAACTACATCTTTCCATTCCTTCCTCTCTATCTGATCTTTTACTCACTGTCATGGATAGAAAGATCTTGCCGAAGAATAGAACAGGCTTCTCTCCATTTACATGTTCTTCTCTATTTCACAATGAAACTGCTCTCTAAAATCTTGCAATATTTTAGTCTCTGCTTGTTGATTTGTGTTCCATGATAGAGAGGTGAGTCTTTGTTCCTGCAGTACCCTAAACTCATCGCCTTTAAAATGAGGACAGCTGCCAATCTGTAAACGTAAACATTCCCATAAAAATAGTTGGTACTTGATTCCTTAGGAAAAAGGTACTGAGAAAAATTTACATGTGAAAGGTACGTGTATATAAATAGTTAAAATAAAATATATTAATAGTTTTATATGAATATTATCTTGTGATTTCATTTTTCTTTTAATTTTTATTAAGACACTGTGATTTGGAGATGCCTCCCATGAACGGCCCTTCCCCCCTGCCCCGCTACGTATTAAGCTCCTTAACAACCATTATCCCAGAGACACACGAACAAATCTTGGAACCAAACAGCTATTACATGCTATTCATAACCAGCAATAGAAAACAATTTACCTAATGCTGCCTTTTTGGCAGGCCTAAGTGTTGGGGGAAAATTCCAAATAATAATGGTGGAACTGGTGTCAAAATATTGAATGTGATCGAAGTAGAAGGAGAGTAATGTGGAAATTATCTGCCACACAGGGGTGGGATGGGGGGTATACTGAGGTTTTTGGTGGTGGAAAGCATGCACTGGTGAAGGGATGGGTGTTTGATTATTGTACAGCTGAGACTCAAACATGAAAGCTTTGTAACTACTTGCCTTGCACTCAGCTGACCCAGGTTGATTCAATAAATAATTTACAAAAAAAGACACTGTGATTTACAGACAGTTATTTCAAGCATACAATTCTTCAAACACCGTTCTCACCACCAATGTCCCTTTCCCTTCCCTAATGTTTTCAGGTGCCCTCATACTCCCTAGCCTGACTCCTTGGAAGAAATATAAAAAAAAATTATTTCATATTACTCACTCAAACAAACTTAAAGGCATGGAAAATGCAACTCAGAAAATAAATTGATGTGCAATTGCTTATATTTTAACCGATGTAAATAAAAAATTTAAATCACTTAATACAATAGAGTACACTGCCCATTCTCATTTTACATAACTAAATTTTTTAACTCTGCCTTCTAAACTATGTACACTAAATTTTA